TGGTATTAGTCACACAAATGATGGGGCACTATTCCTCCCACTGACACCAATGATACTTACCTTGCTGACCCCTGCTCCAGCCTGGGCTCGCTCTCTCACTTACCTGTCAGCTGTCTTCCTTCTCTGGCCGCTCTCCTCTTCACTTACTCCGGCAGTTCCCTCATCTTCTTAGATCTACGCGCGCTGCCGCTCGGCTCCTCCTCTCCAAGCTCCACCTCCTCGCCGGTGATTGGCCGTCTGTGTGCCTCTCCTGAGCTACAGTTCCGGTGGCCAATCAGCGGCGAGGAGGCGGAGTTGTTGAGGGATCCCGGAGGTGTGGCCAGGTGACAGGGCAGCGTGTCATCCCGCCCACACATCGACTGAGACAGAGGAGCGGTGTCTCGGTTCCTAAGACCATCGGAAATATGTGTTTTCCGATGGTCTTAGGCGACCCCTGGGAAATGGTCGTTCGACCCCCAGGTTGAGAACCGCTGACCTAAAGGGATGCTTTTTGGACGCCATGGACATTTCTCAGTTTCCAGGCAGAAAGAACAGTAAAAAATGCAGGCAGGGCACAGGACAAAGCACTCGGGACAAAATGTATGTAAAATGGTTTGATACAGGAATGATTTACTCTGTGATTTTAGTGAATTTAGTGAATGTCACTTTTACAACTTTCAAATTTCCCGCCAGTTTCTGTTCCCCGTATGTCCTGACGTCACAGGGAACGGAACCTGGAAGACAGATGCCGGCATCCGCCAGGGACATCGCGGGAGCGAAGGACAAGGTCAGTGAAGAAGAGATCCCGGAGCAGCGCTGCAAGGTATTTCTGAGTGTAGTTCGGGGTTACCGCTTGTGGTGGTGAAACTTTACCTTGAGCTACACTCGGGAATACCGCCAGGGAGGTTAAAGAGGATCTTCACCCAAGAAAGAAAAAAAATAAAATCATAAGCTACAAATACTGTATCTGCTGAGTTAATATAAGGATCCTTATTTGTCCAGGGATCCAGCACTGTCCTCACCTGGGCCAGTTTTAATCTGGTCTTTGGGTGCCCGGCTCCCTCATGTTTACTAAGGGAGGCCAGCTGTGACTTCTGCTGTGCTTTGTGAGTGGTCCCGCAGCCTCCTGTGACCTACCTATCAAAACTAGGTACCCGCTACTCAAAAAAAATGTTAGTGTGTCAAATATGGTAGAGGATGGTGGGGGGGAGAGGACATAAAGCTGAGTTTCTCCTTCAGGGCAATGTTCTGCTTTATGTCCCAAAGACAGGTGGAAAGGGTGAGTCCCCCTGGTGGGGACACAGTCAACAATTAAGCCTGACTTTTTGGTTTCACTTTAAAGCGGAGCTCCATCCAAAACGGGAAGTTCTGCTTTAAGGACTGCTCCCCCGCTCCCCATTAAGAATTGGCACCTTTGGGGGGTGGGGGACGGGTACATGAATTTGACAGGTACCCGCTCCCACTGAATTTCGCAATCGGAAGCGGAAGGTGTCCTCCCTCCCTCCTGTAGTCTTTTGGGATACGTGACAGGTCCCAGAAGACTACAGGACCATTCATGAAGCAAAGCACTACTCACGTATACGCAGTGGGTACCCGGCTGTGAAGCCGCAAGCAGTCGCAGTTGGATGTCCACACTGAAGATGCCGGCCTCCTGGAATACAGGATGGACGGTGAAACGGGCTGCGGGGGACACACCAAGGGACAGGTAAGTGGCTATTTTTTAAAAGTCAGCAGCTACAGTTTTTGTAGCTGCTGACTTTTATTTTTTTACAGGGTGAGTGGAACTCTGCTTTAAGCTGACGTTTAGGTATGGCAATTTTTCTACGGTTACCTAGGTCTAGCTTGGAACAATGTCAGTATGTATGCACCACACCTGTGCGATTCCCATGGAGGCAGAAATCACCACAATAGACACTGAAACCACAGTGGTCGCCGCTAGCTTCCAGTTCCCGAGCCGAGCAACTGCCCTGCTGCTTAGCGAACAGGGGTGCCATTCAGAGAACACATTTTCTCAATACAAAGCAATTTCTTTTTGGACGAGGTGGGGAGGTACGACAGTGACATCACAATCTGTACCTCATCCAATAAGCATTCAGTAAGCAGCAAGGCAGCCACTTGGCATGGAACACAGCATTTGGTATTGCCTACTACATTGATTTCCAGCTTCCAGGGGGATCCCACAGGTATGGCACACATACAGTACATACCCACATTGGTTCAAACTGCAACTATGTAAAAAATGCGATAAATAATTTTGAGCTCTGAGAAATATTTATGCTTTTGTGATTCATAAATCTTGTATTTCATGGTTCCAAGTAGTTGTTTCTACTTTATAAGCCTCCAGTAATATTTACTGAAGAGAGTAAAGATGCAAATCAATTGAGTCTTCTGCAGCACACTGTCAATCATGTATCTCAATAATATTCCATAATTTAGAGATTGCAACATCTGAAATAAACTAGTTAATCAAACTGCTAATCTAGATGCAGATTCAGTAAACAGAATTATGCGTGTTTAGACCCAGTGGATTTTTTAAATGTAATCATTTAAATTATGCAGCAAGTCCAGAAAAATCTTTCTCTTTGCTTCTGTCTGCATCAGTTGTTCTTAGGCAGTTCCTGTATCTCCATACATGCACTCATATATGTAGCTACACATTGCAGTCAAACGTACAGTTCACTATACTGGCATCCAGTTGTCCTGAGATCATACTGTATGTGTCCTTGCTGCTTTTCTGCTATGTACACCTGGCACTGTTCCTGAGTTACTGATTGTAACAGGTTCCTTTTAAATGTAAAACCTCTCCTCTGGGGGTGATACGGAATGATCCCCTACGTAGCATGGCCGGCTGACATTTCCATCTCATGGTCTGGTTTTTGGTGTATGAGAGGGTGAAAAATGCGTTAAGCACCATTCACTTAGTCTTTTTACCTTTTTTTTTGTGCTTACCCCCCAAAGGAGCTGCTGATGTATGGGGCCTCTGATTCTGAATGACAACTATTCTAGCAATGCCACACCTGCTGACACACCATTTGGGCTATACATCCTGTGACGGACCACCTGTCACCCCGACAGTGCTTCCTGACCTCCACACCCTTCCAGCAGACCGATGGCTAATACCAGTCCCTTACCCCAAACATCATACACAGACACGATTCTAAGGTAAAACCAAAGGAATAAATGTTTATTAAAGCCCAGACACATACAGTTGTGTTCAAAATAATAGCAGTGTGTTGAAAAAAGTGAATAAAGCTCAAAGTCCTTCTAATAGCTTTTATTTCCATCCACACAAATGCATTGGGAACACTACACATTCTATTCCAAATCAAAACATGAAGAAAAATATATCAAATCTGTGTTGTTCCTCTAAAAAAATTGAAGAAAAGTGAATATTAGACTGTTCAAAAAAATAGCAGTGTTTGTATTCTTCTTTACAAACTCAAACATTCACTATATAAACTGAAAAATGTTTGAAGATTTTGCTTTCCTTTGAATCACTTAATGAATATTTAGTTGTATAAGCACTGTTTCTGAGAACTGCTGTACATCTGTGTTGCATGGAGTCAACCAACTTCTGGCACCTGTGAACAGGTATTCCAGCCCAGGATGATTGGACTACATTCCACAGTTCTTCTCTATTTCTTGGTTTTGCCTCAGAAACTGCATTTTTGATGTCACCCCACAAGTTTTCTATTGGATTAAGATCCGGGGATTGGGCTGGCCACTCCATAACGTCAATCTTGTTGGTCTGGAACCAAGATGTTGCACGTTTACTGGTGTTTTTGGGGTCGTTGTCTTGTTGGAAACACCCATTTCAAGGGCATTTCCTCTTCAGCATAAGGCAGCATGACCTCTTCAAGTATTCTGATGTATTCAAACTGATCCATGATCCCTGGTATGCGATAAATAGGCCCAACACCGTAGTATGAGAAACATCCCCATATCATGATGCTTGCACAACCATGCTTCACTGTCTTCACAGTGTACTGTGGCTTGAATTCAGTGTTTGGGGGTCGTCTGACAAACTGTCTCCGGCCACTAGACCCAAAAAGAACAATCTTACTTTCATCCATCCACAAAATGTTGCGCCATTTCTCTTTAGGCCAGTCAATGTGCTCTTTGGCAAATTGTAACCTCTTCAGCACATGTCTTTTTTCCAACAGTGGGACTTTGCGGGGGCTTCTTGCAGATATCTTGGCTTCACATAGGTGTCTTCTAATTGTAACAGTACTCACAGGTAACTTTAGACCTTCTTTGATCTTCCTGGAGCTGATTGTTGGCTGAGTCCTTGCCATTTTGGCTATTCTTCTATCCATTCGAATGGTAGTTTTTCGCTTTCTTCCACGTCTTTCAGGTTTTGGTTGCAATTTTAAATCATTTGCGATCATTTTAGCTGAGCAGCCTATCATTTTCTGCACTTCTTTATATGTTTTCCCCTCTCCAATCAACTTTTTAATTAAGGTACGCTGTTCTTCTGTACAATTTCTGGAACGGCCCATTTTCCTCAGAATTTCAGAGAGAAATGCACTGTAAATAAAGGGCAATAACTGCCACCTGTTTTTCAAAGAATGAATGACCTCACTAATAGAACTCCACACTGCTATTATTTTGAACATGCCCCTTTCAATTAGTGATTCAATTACACAGAATCAGCAGCATGCATGTCATGACTGTTGGATCTGTTGGATTTCTATTACTCTACTACACCTGCTAGTAAATTATTTGCCATGTAGAAATATCATTTCTACCAAAAACAGTGATTGATCAGGTTAGTGATGTCTGACTGCTATTATTTTGAACACAACTTTACCTCATACCCCCAGGAGGACATTCCCCTCTTGGGGACAGGGACGGATCTAGCCTGTCCAATGTGGGGGTGCAGTAAAAAATGTCAAGGGGGCAGAGGAAGGGAGATAAGCAGAGCAGTGTACAAGGGGTCAGCAGGGCAAAGGATAGGGTCAGCATTATGTAGGGCAGTGCACAGAGGCAATTAGTTTGTAGGGCAGTATACAGGAGACAACAGAGCAGAAGACAGGGGTCACTGCTGGCAGGGCAGAGGACAGGGAGTCACTGCTGGCAGGGCAGAAGACAGGATCACTGCTGGCAGGGCAGAGGACAAGGGTCACTGCTGGCTGGACAGAGGATGGGGTCACTGCTGGCTGGACAGAGGACAGGGGTCACTGCTGGCAGGGCAGAGGACAGGGGTCACTGCTGGCAGGCAGAAGACAGGGTCACTGCTGGCAGGGCAGAAGACAGGGTCACTGCTGGCAGGGCAGAAGACAGGGTCACTGCTGGCAGGGCAGAGGACAAGGGTCACTGCTGGCTGGGCAGAGGACAGGGGTCACTGCTGGCAGGGCAGAGGACAGGGGTCACTGCTGGCAGGGCAGAGGACAGGGGTCACTGCTGGCAGGGTACTCAGCAGAGCTCATCCCTCCCTGCACTACACACAGGCTGGGCACAGGTAGCAGAGCTGCTCCTCCAGAGGAGGACAGGGAGGTGGTACAGGCAAGGCAGCCTTTACCACATCACTGGGCCCTCTGCTGACCAGATCATTCGTTTAGCTGGGCAGTACATTTACTTGTACATGTACAAAGCTGAAAAAAGAGGGCAGCTGTCTCCAGTATGGCTCAGTGTGCAAGCGGAGTGTTAGGCATGGAGGGGGGGGGGTTGGCTTTGAGGGGGCACAACTACAATCTGGGGGTGGCCCCACCCCAGCACCCCCTAGATCCGACAGTTGCTTGAGGATATTAGTATACAGTGCATCCAGAAAGTGTTCACAGCACTTAACTTTTGCCACATTTTGTTATGTTACAGCCTTATTCCAAAATGGATTAAATTCATTTTTTTCCTCCACATTCTACAAACAATACCCCATAATGTAAAAAACGAGAGTATAACTTGCGAGCCACCTACTATTAATTATAAAGGTGCGCTGACATACAACACATCCTCCTTATATGTGTAAATAATGAAACAAATATAAATAAATAATGCCGCGCTCCTCCTCTGAGTGAAAAATAACAAACTAAATCAATTCATATATCTAAAGAAACCATATCATAAACCAAAAATATATCAATATATAAAAAAAACGTGATCAACAAAATAAGATGTGACATCCCGTGCTAATCATTTGCAAATAATAATACGTCTCTGTGAATAAGTGGTGATAAATCCCAGTGATTCAAATCAATAAATAATTCCACGTGACTTCCTTAGTGAGATTAAGATGTGCGCTCACCTCCAAGATAGTCTATACTAGGCTAATAACGCTTGTGTTCACTATATGGAACAGTAGTAGTGTGTTGCACCATATGAGGAATGGTGGATCCCTCTCAGCCGGCTCTCCGTTTCTCCGTCTCGGTTTCTGCAGAGGAGTAGACTCTTGTGGCAGGCTTCTCAGAACCCGCAGAGGAGTATGAATTGGCAGAGTTATTTCTCTATCTCTGAGCAGTGACGAGCGGAGGAGTTTGAACTCGGGAGAGGGCATATGCAGAGGAGAGGAAAGCAGGGGAGAACCAGCGAGAAAGTAAGATCCCAGCAGGGATAGGAAACGGAGAGCTGGCTGAGAGGGATCCACCATTCCTCATATGGTGCAACACACTACTGTTCCATATAGTGAACACAAGCATTATTAGCCTAGTATAGGCTATCTTGGGGGTGAGCGCACATCTTAATCTCACTAAGGAAGTCTTGTGGAATTATTTATTGATTTGAATCACCGGGATTTATCACCACTTATTCACAAAGACGTATTATTATTTGCAAATGATTAGCACAGGATGTCACATCTTATTTTGTTGATCACATGTTTTTTATATATTGATATATTTTTGGTTTATGATATGGTTTCTTTAGATATATGAATTGATTTAGTTTGTTATTTTTCACTTAGAGGAGGAGCACGGCATTATTTATTTATATTTAATACCCCATAATGACAACATGAAAGAAGTTCTTTTGAAATCTTTGCAATTTATGAAAAATAAAAAACGAAAAAACCAAATGTACATAAGTATTCACAGCCTTTGCTAAATACTTTGTTGAAGCACCTTTAGCACCAATTACAGCCTCAAGTGGTTTTGAGTATGATGCTACAACTTTGGCACACCTATTTTTGGGTAATTTCTCCCATTCTTCTTTGCAGTACCTCTCAAGCTCCATCAGGTTGGATGGAGCGTCGGTGCACAGCCATTTTCAGATCTCCAGAGATGTTCAATCAGGTTCAAGTCTGGGCTCTAGCTGGACCACTCCAGGATATTCACAGAGTTGGCCCATAGTCACTCCTTTGTTATGTGTACTTAGGGTCGTTGTCCTGTTGAAAGATGAACCATTACCCCAGTCTAAGGTCCATAGCACTCTGGTACAGGTTTTCATCAAGGATGTCTCTGTACATTGCTGCATTCATCTTTCCTTCGATCTTGCCTAGTCTCCCAGTTCCTGCCACTGAAAAACATTTCCACAGCATGATGCTGCCACCACCATGCTTCACTGTAGGGATGGTACTGGCCAGGTGGTGCGCGGTGCCCTGGTTTCCTCCAGACATGACGCTTGGCATTCAGGCCAAAGAGTTCAATCTTCGTTTCATCAGCCCAGAGAGTTTTGTTTCTCATGGTCTGAGAGTCCCTCAGGTGCCTTTTGGCAAACTCCAGGCAGGATGCCATTTTGCCTTTTACTGAGGAGTGGCTTCCGTCTGGCCACTCTACCATACAGGCCTGATTGGTAGAGTGCTGCAGAGATGATTGTTCTTCTGGAAGGTTCTCCTCTCTCCACAGAGAAATGCTGGAGCTCTTTCAGAGTGACCATCGGGTGCTTGGTTACCTCCCTGGCCTTCTCCCTTGATAGCTCATTTTGGCCAGGCGGCCTGCTCTAGAAAAATTCCCGTTGGTTCCAAACTTCTTCCATTTACGGATGATAGAGGCCACTGTGCTCATTGAGACCTTCAATGCTGCAGACATTTTTCTGTACCCTGACCCAGATCTATACCTTGATGCAATCCTGTCTCGGAGGTCTATGGACAATTCCTTAGACTTCATGGCTTGGTTTGTGCTCTGACATGCACTGTTAACTATGGGACCTTATATAGACAGGTTTATGCCTTTCCTAATCATGTCCAATCAAGTGAATTTCCCACAGGTGGACTCCAATCAAGTTGTGGAAACATCACAAGGATGATCAGTGGGAACAGGATGCACCAGAGCTCAATTTTGACTGTCATGGCAAAGGCTGTGAATACTTATGTACATGTGTTTTTTTTTTTTCGTTTTTTCTTTTTTAATAAATTGCAAAGATTTATTTTGCAATTTCACATTGTCATTGTGGGGTATTGTTTGTAGAATGTTGAGGGGAAAAATGAATTTAATCCATTTTGGAATAAGGCTGTAACATAACAAAAGGTGGCAAAGTGGCTGTGAATATTTTTGGATGCACTGTAGATAAGATAAGACATACAACCAGTAAAAATATGACAATGCAACCGTTAATCTAGTTAACAGCTATGCACCTAGACAAGTCTTATCAGCCTGGCTAGTAGTCACAGGAATTCTCCATCCTGCTTCCCTTGTATCTGTGTTGGAAAACATGTCTGCAATAACTCTTGATTAGCCAGGGCATGCCCACTAGGATGCCCTGAAACAGTTCCACAGCCCTGAACACAAAGTACATTACCCCACTCATTTCTAAATGTCCCACCCCAGATCCAGCTTGGATCTAGGTTACCAAGTGGCACACCTTCGGTGGAAATAATATAAAAAGTTATTAATATAAAGTTAGTAGTAGCCAGTGCAAAATTGGCAAATGCTGCATTATGCAGTTCTCGGTGGCCAGCCGGGGCAAAATAAGAAATATGCTCAAGAAGAGTTCCATACCCCCAGCTGGTGAAGGTGCATCTGCACAATCTGTCCCACACAATGTTCCAGCAAATGCACCACTGTTCTGGGGACATTCCTGGCTGCATAATCTCTGTAGATACTCCCAGCCAGTCAAAGGGCTTCAGGACCCAGCTCTCCTCCAGTCTCTGACCAGGAGAAGAAAACAAAATCCTTGGTCTTCTCCATGGGCCATAATCAGTGAGTAGAAGGCTAGCTCATACTCCTCTCCAAAACTACCTGTCCCGGTTGGGTCTGTCACACACGCAACAAGCAACAATGGCAAAATAAATGGCAACAGCAGTGAAACGTTAGGTGAAACAGATTTGTTCAATACAACAAAAAATTAGAGCACCAAATATTTCTGTGCCTGAAACCTAAATTTAGGGGAAGGGTCTTAACTGAAGGCAGTACTAGAAGCTGAAGGTTCTTGAGTCTCTCCAGAAAAAAAAACTACTACTGGCCAGTGTGGTAATAGACATTGGTGCCCAGAGTTCTACATTGGAGCACTCAGACATATATGTATCCCTCGGTGGCGAAGTCACCACTATGAAATCTTTCATGAAGCCTCCTACTGCTCTCTGATGACTGGAAGCTGTAGCATTGGCGGCAACTCTGAGCTCTATAACAGCAGTCCTTCATAAAACCAGTGATGCCCCTCTTACATGTAGCAGCACGGTCCCACTCCGAAACTGAGGTGGGCTCGAGCAACATCATCCTCTCTTACTTAGCAGCACCCTCCTACTGCCACCTCTCACTCTCCATGTGAGACTGCCCAGAGCCCAGGCTTCTTTTCCTCCTTTCTGCAGTGCAACATCCTCCTGGAACTTGTAGTCCCATACAGTTCTTCACTAAACAGAGGCTTGCTCCTGGGACTACATCTCCCACAGTTCTAAGTGGATCCCAGCAGTCTTTCACAGTTCTCTGGGCTGGCAAGTTCTTTCCCAGGCTGCTGTGTAGGCAATCACAGTGTCCTCTGTGTCCACTCTTCTCCCTGCACAGTCACTCCTCTGCACACAAGGTGGCTGGGGAGAGAGACAAATGCTGCAGTGCTTGCAGCTGTATCAGAAACCGTGACAGCCTGGTCCATGCTGCTGAAGTCATGGTGGTGCTGTGGATCTGGGCTACACATTTATTGCTGAACTCAGGTCTAGGAGATGAGGTTTAGGAAAGGTATCAAAGATAGAACAGGTATTCTGGTAGTAGAAGTAGCATGACAAATTGTTGCTCTGTAATGAATCTATTGAATATAGACTTCTGATGCTTTCATCAATGTAGCTTCACAGAGCCTGAGGAAGTGGGGAACTTGGAATCCAGAACGTGCATCACATATTGACCATTAAGACCCCCCCTATCACTTCTATTGAGGATTTTGGAAATCAGCTGGTGTCAATATAATTATAGATCCATCCTTTTCCCTTTGGACTTACAAAAATATTAGTAAGACTGTATTCTGCTCATTATCTACCATTAT